CACAAAGAAAAAAAAAAAACGCCACACCCTACCCGACACCCAAAATTAAATTAAAAAAAAAAAAGAAAGAAAAAACCGCCACACCCTACCCGACACCCGACCCCCAAAATTGGCATTCCGGTGGGTGAGTAAGGAGCGGGATTTTTTTTGGGGGGGGGGTAGGCCGACCTGCAGGGCCCAGGCGGGCCCAGACCCGCAATTTCAAGCGCCAACTTTGGCGATTTTTCACGCCCAGAAGAATTGAAAAAAAAATCTGAAAATTTGAGATCCTGTAGATTAGATAATGATCTTTCCAGGAAAAACATCAGAGGAATAAAAAAAAAAAAAAAAACTTTTCGACCATGAAATCAATTCCGCGCCAATTCGTCACTGAATCCATTTTTGCCGCTCTACAATGTGTGGGCCAACGGAAGAAGTACCCGAACTTCCTACAGATCCTATATAGATTTTTTGCCCTCAGTAGAATGCCTCTATAAGTTCTGAAAATTGGAGGGTCTGTAGATTTGGTCGTGATCTTTCCAGGAAAAATATTTAAAAAATATTTGAAAGATATAATAAAATTGGACCGTTAAATAAATGCCGCGCCCGTTCATATCGTATTTTCCATTTTTGCCGCTCGACGACTTATGGGCCAACGGGATGAAGGAACACAAAACTCAATAAATAAAATACAATCGATTATCTACCCAAAATGAAATAGAGTCCCAAAGACCTATGATGGTAATAAATATGATTAACCCGATTAAAATAACAAAAGCATAATTGTACACAACGCCACTTTGATAGTTGAAAATTGAAATTATTCGCTTTATTAATTTTTTAAAATTGAAATTATTCGCTTTATTAATTTTTTAAAATTGAAATAATTCGCTTCACTAATTTTTTAAATGTGGTGGATTTTAACTTTTTAATAGGGACCCCACATGGAAACAGCACCTTTGTCTAGAGTTTTCAAAGAAACTTCATACCCACAATCACTCGATTGCTGATCGTAGTGATTAATTAATCGTCTAATTGATCGATCGTTTAATTGATTGATCAGATCAATTACGATCGGAAAATTCGTCGTTCTATCCATCGCCGTTCGTCGTTTGATCGATCGTCGTAATTAATCGATCAACAACCAATCGATTGATGATGAGAGCGATCAATCAACCAATCAATTGCTGATGATAGTGAATAATTAATCGTTTAATTAGATAGATCATTTAACTGATCAATCGTTTAGAAGTGATCGATTGTTTGATTGATTGATTGATTGATTGCTAGATCAAAATTACGACAGGAAAATTCGTCGTTCGATCGATGGCAGTTTCGTCGTTCGATCGATCGTCGTAATTAATCGACCAATCACGATCACTATTCCCGTTGACGTCATCGTTTATTTGCAACCTGTTATCGATCACCATCGCGCTGATGTCATCGTTTATTTGCGACCTGTTACCGATCACCATCATCCCGCTGTGACGTCATCGTTAATTTGCGCCCCGTCGGGACCACAACGATAATCCCGATACTGACGACACAGGTGATGAAGAGGATAATGATCATGATGACGACAGCAAAAAAATACTAATTCGATAATGACGACAACAACGACAAATAATTTGTCTTTTAAGGCAGCTGATGATCATGATGATGATGACGATGACGATGATGAGGAGGAGGAGGAGGGGGAGGAGGAACGATAATCATGACAGCGCATGAATCTTCAAATCCCCAGTTTCTTTCTCTCCTTTCTCTCCTTTTTCTTGCTTTTTTTGTCTCCCTTCTATTTTTTTCCACTAAAAATTGCGAAAACCACCCTGAAAAATGCCTTCGAGATGTAGTGATTTTCCTTTTCTTCTTTTCCTTTTCCTTTTTTTTTCATTTTTTTCCTTTTTTTTTATTCTTTTTTCTTATGTTCTCCCTTTTTTCCCTTTCTTCCCTTTTCCTCAATTATCCATAAAGATTATAAAATATATATATATTTAATATATATCCATACGATTACACATCAATTCTGCTTCCACTTAGATTTCTCCATTCAGACCGTCGATTCTCAAACGAACGGCCAGACTCTCC